GCATATATGCACCTGGAGAAGAGAGAAGCCTAGAGGAGAGAGAGAGATTTTGGGAAATGTTGAGCGAATGCGTGGAGAGTTTTGAACCAAGTGTGAGAGTAATGATGGTTGGGGATTTCAATGCTAAAGTGGGCAAAAATGTTGTGGAGGTAGTAGTAGGTAAATTTGGGGTGCCAGGGGTATATGAAAATGGGGAGCCTTTAATTGAGCTATGTGTAGAAAGAGGTTTGGTAATAAGTGACACATATTTTATGAAGAAGAGGATAAATAAATATACAAGGTATGATATAGCACATAATGAAAGTAGTTTGTTAGATTATGTATTGGTGGATAAAAGGTTGATGGGTAAGCTCCAGGATGTACACGTTTATAGAGGGGCAACTGATATATCGGATTATTATATAGTTGTAGCTACAGTGAGAGTAAGAGGTAGATGGGAAAAAGAGGAAAATGGCAACAACAAGCAAGAGGGAGGAGGAAGTTCGGGTGAGATATAAGCAACTATTGGCAGAAAGGTGGGCTGGTGCAAGTATGAGTAGTGAGGGGGTTGAAGAGGGTTGGAATAGTTTTAAAAATGCAGTATTAGAATGTGGGGCAGAACTTTGTGGTTATAGGAGGGTGGGTGCAGGAGGAAAGAGGAGTAATTGGAAGAATGAAGAAGTAAAGGGTGTGATAAAGAGAGAAAAAGTTAGCTTATGAGAGGTTTTTACAAAGAAGTGTTATAAGAAGAGTAGAGTATATGGAGAGTAAAAGAAAGGTGAAGAGAGTGGTGAGAGAGTGCAAAAGGAGAGCAGATGATAGAGTGGGAGAGGCACTGTCAAGAAAATTTAATGAAAATAAGAAAAAATTTTGGAATGAGTTAAACACATTAAGAAAGCCTAGAGAACGAATGGATTTGTCAGTTAAAAACAGAGTAGGGGAGTTAGTAGATGGGGAGATAGAGGTTTTGGGTAGATGCTGAAAATATTTTGAGGAACTTTTAAATGACAATGAAGAAAGGGAAGCGGTAATTTCATGCACTGGTCAGGGAGGTATACCTTCTTTTAGGAGTGAAGAATAACAGAATGCGAGTGTGGGGGAGGTGCGTGAGGCATTACGCAAAATGAAAGGGGGTAAAGCAGCTGGATCTGATGGGATCATGACAGAAATGTTAAAAGCAGGGGGGAGGATATAGTGTTGGAGTGGTTGGTCATCTTTCTTTAACCCTTTGAGGGTCGAGAGGCCCTCTCTGAGACTCGTTCTCAGGGTCGGCCAAATTTAAAAAAAAAAAAATTCTTATGAAAAGACAGAGAATCTTTTCCCGATCATAATGACACCAAAAGTATGAAATTTGATGGAAAACTTACGGAATTATGCTCTCGCGAAGTTAGTGGTCTCAGCGATGTTTACGCATTGGCGATTTTGCCCACTTTGAGCCCCATTTTCGGCCTATTCCACTGTACTAGTCGACAAAAAACATGAATATTTCGCTAGAACTCCATTTTTTCTATCGAATGAGTGCAAGAAACCACCCATTTACCAATTTCAACTATCCAGTACAGTGGTCAGAATTTAGCAATTTTGCCAATTTCACACAAATTTCAAAAGATGCCAATTTCAGAATAGGGTCCAGAATAAACAAGACATTACTGGCACTAAAATGACATTTCCTCTGTTCATCAGTCACATCTCAAGGCCCCTCTTACATTCTTTTGCTTTCCACTTTGAATTTTTATTCTCACAAAAAATAGAAGATTTACTGTTATGCAGACTACTGCATTAGTGTAAAAAATGGTATAAACAATATTGGCGCACTTGCGAAAGAATATTAGACTCACCAGTTGACGTGTATTGGACGCTTGGCATGATTTGTTTACTTTTGAACTTGGGTAAAAATCGAACATTTCTGCTATTTTGAGCTCAATTTCAAGGTACTTTTCATTGTAAAACCAGTCAAAATCATCTCAATTTCTGTAATATGTCTTCCATTCTATAAAATGAGACCAAGAAAACTAGAATGCAACAATAAATACCATACAAAAATACAGTGCAAAGTCACTGTTTTATTCCCAAAAAATGGTCAAAGTTTTTTTTTTTCTCATTATGCACTGTGCTGCAGGATATTTTTTATACTGACCACATAGACCCATTCTTTCATATGTAGGCCTACCAGCTTTCTCACACTAGATTTGAGGGTACTATAATTTAGGCGTACTAGTACATCAAAAACCTTTGTTCGCAAGCCGTACTAGTATGGCCGAAACCCTCAAAGGGTTAATAAATGTATGAAAGAGGGGAAGGTACCTAGGGATTGGCAGAGAGCATGTATAGTCCCTTTATATAAAGGGAAGGAGGACAAAAGATGATGAATGAAGTAAAGGGTGTGATAAAAGAGAAAAAGGTAGCTTATGAGAGGTATTTACAAAGCAGAAGTGTTATAAGAAGAGTAGAGTATATGGAGAGTAAAAGAAAGGTGAAGAGGGTGGTGAGAGTGCAAAAGGAGAGCGGATGATTAAGTGGGAGAGGCACTGTCAAGAAATTTTAATGAAAATAAGAAAAAACTTTGGAGTGAGTTAAACAAGTTAAGAAAGCCTAGGGAACGAATGGATTTGTCAGTTAAAAACAGAGTAGGGGAGTTAGTAGATGGGGTGATGGAGGTATTGGGTAGATGACAAGAATATTTTGAGGAACCTTTAAATGTCGACAAAGAAAGGGAGGAGGTAATTTCATGCACTGGCCAGGGAGGTATACCATCTTTTAGGAGTGAAGAGCAGGAGGATGCGAGTGTGGGGGAGGTGTGTGAACCATTACGTAGAATGAAAGGGGGTAAAGCAGCTGGAACTGTTGGGATTATGACAGAAATGTTAAAAGCAGGGGAAGGGACATAGTGTTGGAGTGGTTGGTATTTTTGTTTAAGAAATGTATGAAATAGGGGAAGGTACCTAGGGGTTGGCGGAGTGTGTGTATAGTCCCTTTATATAAAGGGAAGGGGGACAAAAGAGATTGTAAAAATTATAGAGGAATAAGTTTACCGAGTATACCAGGAAAAGTGTACGGTAGGGTTATAATTGAAAAAAATTAGAGGTAAGACAGAATGTAGGATTGCGGATGAGCAAGGAGGTTTCAGAATGGGTAGGGGATGTGTAGATCAAGTGTTTACATTGAAGCATTTATGAGAACAGTATTTAGATAAAGATAGGGGAAGTTTTCAATTGCATTTATGGAGTTCGAAAAGGCATATGATAGAGTGGATAGAGGAGCAATGTGGCAGATGTTGCAAGTATATGGAATAGGTGGTAAGTTACTAAATGCTGTAAAGAGCTTTTATGAGGATAGTGAGGCTCAGGTTAGGGTGTGTAGAAGAGAGGGAGACTACTTCCCGGTAAAAGTAGGTCTTAGACAGGGATGTGTAATGTCACCATGGTTGTTTAATATATTTATAGATGGGGTTGTAAAAGAAGTAAATGCTAGGGTGTTCGGGAGAGGGGTGGGATTAAATTATGGGGAATCAAATACAAAATGGGAATTGACATAGTTGCTTTTTGCTGATGATACTGTGCTTATGGGAGATTCTAAAGAAAAACTGCAAAGGTTAGTGGATGAGTTTGGGAGTATGTGTAAAGGTAGAAAGTTGAAAGTGAACATAGAAAAGAGTAAGGTGATGAGGGTATCAAATGATTTAGATGAAGAAAAATTGGATATCAAATTGGGGAGGAGTAGTATGGAAGAAGTGAATGTTTTCAGATACTTGGAAGTTGACGTGTCAGCGGATGGATTTATGAAGGATGAAGTTAATCATAGAATTGATGAGGAAAAAAAGTTGAGTGGTGCGTTGAGGTATATGTGGAGACAAAAAAACGTTATCTATGGAGGCAAAGAAGGGAATGTATGAAAGTATAGTAGTACCAACACTTTTATATGGATGTGAAGCTTGGGTTGTCAATACAGCAGTGAGGAGGCAGTTGGAGGCAGTGGAGATGTCCTGTCTAAGGGCAATGTGTGGTGTAAATATTATGCAGAAAATTCAATGTGTGGAAATTAGGAGAAGGTGTGGAGTTAATAAAAGTGTTAGTCAGAGGGCTGAAGAGGGGTTGTTGAGGTGGTTTGGTCATTTAGAGAGAATGGATCAAAGTAGAATGACATGGAGAGCGTATAAATCTGTAAGGGAAGGTAGGCGGGGTAGGGGTCATCCTCGAAAAGGTTGGAAGGAAGAGGTAAGGGAGGTTTTGTGGGCGAGGGGCTTGGACTTCCAGCAGGTGTGCATGAGCGTGTTCGATAGGAGTGAATGGAGATGAATGGTATTTGGGACCTGACGATCTGTTAGTGTGAGCAGGGTAATATTTAGTAAAGGAATTCAGGGAAACCGGTTATTTTTATATAGCCAGACTTGAGTACTGGAAATAGGAAGTACAATGCCTGCACTTTAAAGGAGGGGTTCGGGATATTAGCAGTTTGGAGGGATATGTTGTGTATCTTTGTACGTATATACTTCTAAACTGTTGTGTTCTGAGCACCTCTGCAAAAACAGTGATTATGTGTGAGTGAGGTGAAAGTGTTGAATGATGATGAAAGTATTTTCTTTTAGGGGATTTTCTTTCTTTTTGAGTCACCCTGCCTCGGTGGGAGACAGCCGACTTGTTAAAAAAAAAAAATAATCCTAAGTGGTTCATCTAAACCAATGTGGAAAAATAATTTGTAAATTCTGAATTACCTTACCTCCAAATAATTAAATTTTCTAAATAATTTGTATTGAGAATGATCTTATATTCTGATATTTTATTACACAGCAAACATTTAATAATTTTATTAAATATTCCTTATTTAGAATTAATTTTCAAGGAAAAAAATAATTTTTATAATTAGTAACTCATTCCTTATATGCATTATTCAAAATAAGAAAAAATAATACTATATTACTCTACACTGTATATAAAAATTCTTCACTGTAATTCATTTAGGCATGAAGCACCTCACGTGCACCTTGATGTTAAGAGGATGGTACACTCAGGTGGCCAGCTTACCTATAGGTTTATCTGGATCATAAAGGGGTAAAGTGGCTGGCGTCAGCTCCTCCTCGCATTCATTCGACTTCTTAAAACGGTACACTTCTTCATGGAATGATGGTTCTGTTGCACATACAAGAAAAATTAAATAACAAAAATCCTATGACACCCATTTATTCAACTATTATACCAACATAATCCCATGACACAGATGCATCTAACTCTTCTCTCTTTTTTTTTTTACATACCAGCCCTCTTCCACCAAGGTAGGGCAACCTGAAAAAGACGAAACACTTACACTATCAATCACTATGTCATTAACTTGCCAGAGGCATGCTGATACTACAGTTCAGATGGTCCTCCAAGCTGTAATATTCCCATTGCTCCTTCAGAGTGCAGGCTTTGTACTTCCTTCCTCCAGGACTAAAGTCTGGCTAACCAACTTCCCCGAATCCCTTCACAAAATGTCCCCCTTCTCACACTCCAATAGCTTATTAAGTCCCCAAAACAATTGGCCTCAACTCACTCCTACCTAACACACTTACACACGCCTGCTGAATGTCCAAGTCCCTCACGTACAAAGTCTCATTTACTCCCTCAAACCAACCTTTCCTAGGGTGATGCCTACCCACCTTCCCTCCACTACATATTTACACACCCTCCAAGTCATCCTATTTTGCTCCATCCTCTCTATATGTCTAAACCACCTAAACAACCCCTCCTCAGCCCTCTAAATAATACTTTTAGTAATTCTGCACCTCCCCCTTTTCTCCAAGATATGAATTCTCTGAATAATATTTACACCACACATTGCCCTTAGACATGACATCTCCACTTCCTCCAGCCTCTTCCTTGCTGTAACATTCACCCATATAAGAGCATTGGTAGCACTATTCTCATACATTTCCCTTTTTGCCTCTATGGATAATGTTCTTAGTTGCCACAGATGCCTCAGTGCACTGCCCACTTTTTTCCCCTTCATCAATTTTATGGTTCACCTCATCCTTCATTGACCCTCTGCCGACATTTCCGCTCCTAAACGTCTAAATCATTTACATCCTCCATTCTCCCTCTCTAATCTGATAATAAATCTTTCTTTACCTAAATCGTCTGTTACTCTCATGACCTTGCTCTTTCGTATGCTCACTTTTAGTTTCCTTCTTTTATATACCTTCCAAATTCATCCACCATCCTTATCCAACTGTTATATCTACATAATCCTGAGACACTGATTCATTCAACTTTTTTTTTTTTAACACGTCAGTTATCTCCCACCGAGGCAGGGTGACCCAAAAAGAAAGAAAATCCCCGAAAAGAAAAATACTTTCATCATCATTCAACACTTTTACCTCACTCATACACTATCGCTGGCTTTGCAGAGGAGCTCAGACACGACAGTTTAGAAGCCCCTCCAAACTGTCAATATCCCAAACCCCTCCTTTAAAGTGCAGGCATTGTACTTCCTATTTCCAGGACTCATGTCTAGCTAACCGGTTTCCTAAATCCCTTCACAAAATATTACCCTGCTCACACTCCAACAGCTCAAAATTCTGAGACCCTGATTCATTCAACTGTTATATCAAAAATGCTTCCATACAGTATAATACTATAGCTGCATACAGGTTTTATTTTGATTCACTGTTATGTGATGTGTCATTTATATCAGCCACATGAACTTGGAACAACTTACAGAGTGTATTGAAGATTTCCATTAAGACAAACTTAAATGTTTATGGCCTTACTGAGGTTAGTGTTGTGGCCATGGGCCTGGAACACTACTCCAGCATGACCTAAATGAGGCTATTGTTGTAGTCATGGGCTTGGAACAAAGATCCAGCATGGCCTTAATGAGGTTACTGTTGCAGCCAAGGGTTAGAACACAGCTCCAGCATTGCCTTAATGAGGTTACTGTTGCAGCCATGGGCCGGAACACAGCTCCAGCATTGCCTTAAAGAGATTAGTGTTGTGGTCATGGGCCTGGAAGACAGCTCCAGCATAAAACAAGGAACACCTATGTTGTCCTCCACCTTTCCTCTCTAATTTTTCCTTCACTCATCTGGCCATACTTACCAGTTTCTAGTCTCTTTTTCTCCTCCTCTTCTTCCTTCTGAGCAATCTTCTGAGTCTCCTGTTCGATGTCCCACTGGTTCTGTGTGAAGACAAAAGTTGCTCTAAAAAATGTACACAATACACATCAATAACAGAGGGGCACAAACTATAGCCCATAAACTGACAGTCCAACATTCGAGCCTCTTGTTAACCCTTCTGTTTATTCATTTACAGCTGTTTATTACAATTTAATCTGAGTTCATAATAAAAACATACAATAACTTTAAAAAGGCTAAACACTCATATTATTAAACTAGTCTCTGAATTCCTTCACAATATGTTTAAGGTAATATGCAGTGTCTATATTTAACCTCTTTCTTTCTTCTTTCAACACACTGGCCGTATCCCACCGAGGCGGGGTGGCCCAAAACGAAAAAACGAAAGTTTCTCCTTTTACATTTAGTAATATACACAGGAGAAGGGATTACTAGCCCCTTGCTCCTGGCATTTTAGTTGCCTCTTACAACACGCATGGCTTATGGAGGAAGAATTCTGTTCCACTTCCCCATGGAGGTAAGAGGAAATATACAAGAACTAGAACTAGTAAGAAAATATTAGAAAACAAAGGGGGGTGTGTATATATATGCCTGCCTTGGTGGGAATCGGCCGGTGTGATAATAAAAAAAATAAAAAAAAAACATGTATGTGTAGTGTGACCTAAGTGTAAGTAGAAGCAGCAAGACGTAAATGAAATCTTGCATGTTTATGAGACAGAAAAATGGACACCAGCAATCCTACCATCATATAAAACAATTACAGGCTTTCGTTTTACACTCACTTGGCAGGACGGTAGTACCTCCCTGGGCGGCTGCTGTCTACCAACCTACTACCTAAGTTTATTTTCTTCTATCCTCTCTACATGTCCAAACCACCTCAACAACCCTCCCTCTGCCCTCTGGATACTACTTGTAGAAACCCCACAACTCCTCCTAGTCTCCAAGCTACAGATTCTCTGCATTATATTCACACCACACATTGCCCTCAGACACATCTCTACTGCCTCCAGCCCTCTCGTTTTTGCAACATTCACTACCCCTGCTTCACACCCAAATAAGACTGTTGGTACCACTATACTCTCATACAGTCTGCCTCTTTGCTTCCATGGATAATGTTCTTTGTCTCCATAGACTCCTCAGTGTACCACTCACCTTTTCCCCCCTTCATCAATTCTATGATTCACCTTATCTTTCATAGACCCATCTGCTGACAAGTCCGCTCCTAAATATCTGAATACATTCACTTCCTTCACATTCCCTCCCTCCAATCTGATATCTTTCATTACCTAAATTTTTTGTTATCCTCATCACCTTGCTCTTTCCTACATTCCGTTTTAATTTCATTCCATTACATATCCTTCCAAACTTGTTAATCAACCTCTGCAACTTCTCTTCAGAATCTCCAAAAAGCACAGCAAAGAGCAACCATGATAACTCCCAATTTGTGTTACATTCTTTATCTCTTAACCCAAAACCTCTTGTCAACACCCAAGCATTCACTTCTCTTACAACCCTATCTATAAATATATTGAATAATCATGGTAACATCATGCATCCCTGTCTAAGGCCTACTTTTACTTGGAAATAATCTCCCTCTCTCCTACATGCTCTAACCCGAGCCTCACTATCCTCGTAAAAACTCTTACCTGCTTTCATTCACCTACCACTTATTCCATACATTTGCAACATCTGCCACGCTGCTCTCCTATCCACCCTATCATATGCCTTTTCCAAATCAATAAATGCAACAAACACTTCTTATCCTTATGTAAATACTGTTCACTTATATGTTACACTGTAAACACTTGGTCTACACACCCCCTACCTTTCCTAAAGCCTCCTTGTTCATCTGCAATCCTGCTCTCTGCCTTACTCTTAATTCTTTCAATAATAACTACCATACACTATCAGGTACACTCAACAGGCTTTTTATTTATTTCAATATGTGTCCTGTCTCCCACTAAGGCAGGGTGGCCCAAAAGAGAGAGAAGACAAGGAAGAATCACCACTAGGTTGTGAAGTCAGCCATCTGGGTGTTCATAGCTACCAGCACGAGCCCATGAATAAGAATATCTTCCTGTCTCTACAGACTTATTCAGCTATATTTTTTACACTCTTTTATCCCCTTTGCCTTTATAACTATGCATGCTTTCTGCCAATCCCTAGGTACCTTCCCCTCTTCCATTTTTTTTTTTTTCAACAAGTCGGCCGTCTCCCACCGAGGCAGGGTGACCCAAAAAAGAAAGAAAATCCCCAAAAAGAAAATACTTTCATCATCATTCTACACTTTCACCACACTCACACATTATCACTGTTTTTGCAGAGGTGCTCAGAATACAACAGTTTAGAAGCATACACATATAAAGATACACAACATATCCCTCCAAACTGCCATACATTTACTAAATAAAAGCACCAACCATTCCAAAACTACATCACCAAATGTTTGCTTTTAACATTTCTGTCTTTATCCCATCAATCCCAGCTGCTTTACCCCCTCCCTTTCATTCTACCCAATGCCGCATGCACCTCCCCGCACACTCTCAACTGACTCTTCCTCACTCCTACAAGATGTTACACATCCTTGCCCAATGCATGAAATCACAACACCTCTATTTTCATCAACATTTAACAATTCCTCAAAATATTCCTTCTAACTTTCCGATACTTCCAACTCTCCATCTAATAACTCTTCTCTCCTATTTTTACCTGTCAAATCCATTCATTCCCTAGGGTTTCATAACTTATTAATCTCACTCCAAAACTTTTTCTTGTTCTCAGCAAAATCTGTTAGCAGTATCTCACCCACTCTCTCATTTGCTCTGCTTTTTCATTCCTTCACCACTATATGAAGGCCCATTAACCCTTTGACTGTTTTGGCCATATATATACGTCTTACGAGCCAGTGTTTCAAACGTATATACACATACTCAATAATTCTAGCGGCTTCAAATCAAGCAGGAGAAAGCTGGTAGGCCCACATGTGAGAGAATGGATCTGTGTGGTCAGTGTGCACCATATAAAAAAAATCCTGCAGCACGCAGTGCATAATGAGAAAAAAAAAAAGACCGTTTTTTTCAATTAAAATGCCGAGTTTGTGGTCTATTTTCATATAGTATTTATGGTGCATTCTCGTTTTCTTGGTCTCATTTGACAGAATGGAAAACATATTATAGAAACAGAGGTGATTTTGATTGGTTTTAATATGAAAATAGCCTTGAAATGGAGCTCAAAGTAGGGGAAATGTTTGATTTTTGCCGATGTTCAAAAGTAAACAAATGATGTCATTGTCCAATAAATGTCCAACTAGCCATTCTAATATGCAGTCATGAATGGGTTGACATTATTTATACAATTATTACAATACTGCAGTAGTCTGCATAACAGTAAATCTTCAATTTTTTTTTTTAATAAAAATTCAAAATAGAAAGCAAGAGTAATTTCAGAGGGGCCTAGAGACGTGACTGATGAACAAAGAAAATGTTATTTTCGAGCCAGGAATGTCTGTCTTGTTCATTCTAGACCCTATTTTGAAATTGTCATATTTTTTAATTTTTGTGAAACTGGTCAAATTGCAAATTTCTGACCACGTTATTGGGTAGTTGAAATCAGTAAATAGGCAGTTTCCTGTACTCAATCGATAGAACAAATAGAGTACTAAAGAAATAGCTATGAGTTTGATCGACTGGAACAACGGAATTAGCCGAAAATAGGGCTCAAAGTGGGCGAAATCGCCGATTCATCAATATCACCGAGGTCGCTAACTTCGCGAGAGCGTAATTCAGTCAGTTTTCCATCAAATTTCATTCTTTTGGTGTCGTTACAATAGGGACAAAATTCTCTATCATTTCATAAGAATTTGGGGGGGGGGGATTTTGCAACACCAGGAGACACCTCAGGATTTGGGGTTGCGACAGTCAAGGGGTTAATGCTGTGTCAATGTCTAGTATACTGTTTCCTCATTGCTCTTACTGTTCAAGAAGTATTCCCTGATTTTGCTCTGACTTCGATGTATGTACAGTTTCCATTTGTCCTTCCTTTCTCTGAGCCTCTTACCTGATAAGGTGTTACTCTTAACCTTATATACTGTACCTCCAACAGTTGCCTTAACCTTATATACTGTACCTCCAACAGTTGTCTTAACCTTATATACTGTACCTCCAACAGTTGTCTTAACCTTATATACTATATCCCCAACAGTTTTATTAAGTGATTGTCATATGACCTAATGTTCTGTGCATGTATGTAATTATCCTCATCCACTCTGGAATATACTTTTTTAAAATCTATAAATGAAAAACAGATCCTATTCCTTATAAGGAACTGCTCACACATGTACTTGCATGTAAACACTTGCATGCTCATAAATTTTTAAGTCCTCTCTCTTTTTCTGTGGTCATAAATTGTCTTTACAATTACACTATTAAATTACCTATATGCCATACACTTCAGATGACATTTATTAGACCTTTTTCCCTACAATTCTTTGCACATATATACAATTTCCAATTTAGTAAAACCCGACATTATCTTTGCCAATTCTTGGATACATTTTGTTTGTTAATACATACAATACAAAAATGGGCCAACCACAGGAACAATCTCTCCCTCATTTTCAGTTGTAAATTCCATCCTCTCTTAACGGATTTCACTATAATACACAAATAACCCGCACATAAAAGACAGAAGCTTACGACGACGTTTCGGTCCGAGTCGGACCGAAACGTCGTCGTAAGCTTCTGTCTTTTATGTGCGGGTTATTTGTGTATCGTTCCAGTCACGGTATTGTGCCTTTTTGTTATTCACTATAATAAAAGAACAAAATTTCTGTCTCCCTTACATTTTTTATATTATAACCAATACCCCTAAAGTCATTCCTACAAATTCATAATATAGGTTGGCCATCACTGATCCGGCAATCACTAATACGGTTCCATCACTAATCTGGCACTAACTTCGACTAGCATAATTTCAAATTTTCCGGGTTGCCGAATCAACCTGCCATTACTGTTTGGTGGTGCACTTGCTGCATAAACACTGTTAG